TCCCTCAGATGTCATTGTATGCTTGATAGAACACCAGAATATGTACTAGCCTGTGCTGGGCTTGGTGTAGACTAGCCTGTGTTGGGCTTGGTGTAGGCTGGCCTGTGTTGGGCTTGGTGTAGACTAGTCTGTGTTAGGCTTGGTGTAGACTAGCCTGTGTTGGGCTTGGTGTAGGCTAGCCTGTGTTGGGCTTGGTGTAGGCTGGCCTGTTTTGATGTTTGCTGTTTCCTGTTTCTGTTTCTATTCATGGGAAAATAATTTGGTTGCAAATGCAGAGTGAGAAAACTTCCAGAACTGGAATTTCACTGCTTTGAAAATAGAGACATCAGTGTGTGTTGTGACACAGTTTGGAATTTGGGAATAAACACTGACTGACGACTCAGTGCTGGTGTCGTTGGCTCCTCTTGGTTGTGCAACCTTTATAGATGAATATGAATAGATCTTGTAAATAGTCAGATATCTGATTGCTTTGAAGGAATATGCATTTGTCACAACGTGGGCAACTCTTGCCTAAAACCTTCAAAGGAACAAGGAGAAACAGGTGTAAGAAACTCCTGTAGTTAGCCAGGTAGAAGTTACGGTACATTGTATACAACCATAAAGGCCAGGTCTATGTAGATTTCAATGTAATCTAAAAATATCAGCTTGGAGCTTAAACACCATAGACACATACAAAGTGAATGTACTGTATGTCATCTAAATAAAATAAAAAAATTAAATAACATTATTTAGCAGACGCTCTTATCCAGAGCGACTTACATGAGCAATTAAGGTTAAGTGCCTTGTTTAAGGGCACATCGACAGATTTTTCACCTAGTCGGCTCGGGGATTAGAACCAGCGACCTTTCGGTTACTAGCACAACGCTCTTACCCACTAAGCTACCTGTCCCCCCCTCTCATCTATACAAGGCCTTTGGAATACGAGTGTTTTTATAAGAAGCATTGTGAGAGTGATCCACCCACTGGTGACCTCTCATGGTGTAGTGTCCTCAACAGTTACTACATCCACCCACTGGTGACCTCTCATGGTGTAGTGTCCTCAACAGTTACTACATCCACCCACTGGTGACCTCTCATGGTGTAGTGTCCTCCACAGTTACTACATCCACCCACTGGTGACCTCTCATGGTGTAGTGTCCTCCACAGTTACTACATCCACCCACTGGTGACCTCTCATGGTGTAGTGTCCTCAACAGTTACTACATCCACCCACTGGTGACCTCTCATGGTGTAGTGTCCTCAACAGTTACTACATCCACCCACTGGTGACCTCTCATGGTGTAGTGTCCTCCACAGTTACTACATCCACCCAATGTTGACCTCTCATGGTGTAGTGTCCTTAACAGTTACTACATCCACCCACTGGTGACCTCTCATGGTGTAGTGTCCTCCACAGTTTCTACATCCACCCACTGGTGACCTCTCTTGGTCAAATCAAATCAAATCAAATCAAATTTTATTGGCCACATGCGCCGAATACATCAAGTGCAGTCATTACAGTGAAATGCTTACTTACAGCCCTTAACCAACAGTGCATTTATTTTTAATAAAAAAAGTGAAATAAAACAACAACAAAAAAGTGTTGAGAAAAAAAAGAGCAGAAGTAAAATAAAATAACAGTAGGGAGGCTATATATACAGGGGGGTACCGGTGCAGAGTCAATGTGCGGGGGCACCGGCTAGTTGAGGTAGTTGAAGTAATATGTACATGTGGGTAGAGTTAAAGTGACTATGCATAAATAATTAACAGAGTAGCAGCAGCGTAAAGATATGGGGTGGGGGGAAGTGCAAATAGTCCGGGTAGCCATGATTAGCTGTTCAGGAGTCTTATGGCTTGGGGGTAGAAGCTGTTGAGAAGTCTTTTGGACCTAGACTTGGCACTCCGGTACCGCTTGCCGTGCGGTAGCAGAGAGACCAATCTATGACTAGGGTAGCTGGAGTCTTTGACAATTTTGAGGGCCTTCCTCTGACACCGCCTGGTATAGAGGTCCTGGATGGCAGGAAGCTTGGCCCCAGTGATGTACTGGGCCATACGCACTACCCTCTGTAGTGCCTTGCGGTCGGAGGCCAAGCAGTTGCCATACCAGGCAGTGATGCAACCAGTCAGGATGCTCTCGATGGTGCAGCTTTAGAATTTTTTGAGGATCTGAGGACCCATGCCAAATCTTTTCAGTCTCCTGAGGGGGAATAGGCTTTGTCGTGCCCTCTTCACGACTGTCTTGGTGTGTTTGGACCATGATAGTTCGTTGGTGATGTGGACACCAAGGAACTTGAAGCTCTCAACCTGTTCACTACAGCCCGTCGATGAGAATGGGGGCGTGCTCAGTCCTCTTTTTTTTCCTGTAGTCCACAATCATCTCCTTTGTCTTGGTCACGTTGAGGGAGAGGTTGTTATCCTGGCACCACACGGCCAGGTCTCTGACCTCCTCCCTATAGGCTGTCTCATCGTTGTCGGTGATCAGGCCTACCACTGTTGTGTCGTCGGCAAACTTAATGATGGTGTTGGAGTCGTGCCTGGCCATGCAGTCATGGGTGAACAGGGAGTACAGGAGGGGACTGAGCACGCACCCCTGAGGGGCCCCTGTGTTGAGGATCAGTGTGGCAGATGTGTTGTTACCTACACTTACCACCTGGGGGCGGCCCGTCAGGAAGTCCAGGATCCAGTTGCAGAGGGAGGTGTTTAGTCCCAGGATCCTTAGCTTAGTGATGAGCTTTGAGGGCACTATGGTGTTGAATGCTGAGCTGTAGTCAATGAATAGCATTCTCACGTAGGTGTTCCTCTTGTCCAAGTGGGAAAGGGCAGTGTGGAGTGCAATAGAGATTGCATCATCTGTGGATCTGTTGGGGCGGTATGCAAATAGGAGTGGGTCTAGGGTTTCTGGGATAATGGTGTTGATGTGAGCCATGACCAGCCTTTTAAAGCACTTCATGGCTACAGACGTCAGTGCTACGGGTCGGTAGTCATTTAGGCAGGTTATCTCATTGTCCTGGGGCACGGGGACTATGGTGGTCTGCTTGAAACATGTTGGTATTACAGACTCAGTCAGGGACATGTTGAAAATGTCAGTGAAGACACTTGCCAGTTGGTCAGTACATGCTCGGAGTACACGTCCTGGTAATCCATCTGGCATTGCGGCCTTGTGAATGTTGACCTGCTTAAAAGTCTTACTTACATCGGCTACAGAGAGCGTGATCACATAGTCATCCGGAACAGCTGGTGCTCTCATGCATGCTTCTGTGTTGCTTGCCTCGAAGCGAGCATAGAAGAGGTTTAGCTCGTCTGGAAGTCTTGTGTCACTGGGCAGCTTGCGGCTGTGCTTCCCTTTGTAGTCTGTAATAGTTTTCAAGCCCTGACACATCTGACGAGCATCAGAGCCGGTGTAGTACGATTCAATCTTAGTCCTGTATTGACTCTTTGCCTGTTTGATGGTTCGTCGGAGGGCATAGCGGGAATTCTTATAAGCGTCCGGGTTAGAGTCCTGCTCCTTGAAAGCGGCAGCTCTACCCTTTAGCTCAGTGCGGATGTTTCCTGTAATCCATGGCTTCTGGTTGGGGTATGTACGTACGGTCACTGTGGGGACGACATCATCGATTCACTTATTGATGAAGCCAGTGACTGATGTGGTGTACTCCTCAATGCTATCTGAAGAATCCCGGAACATGTTCCAGTCTGTGCTAGCAAAACAGTCCTGTAGCTTAGCATCTGCGTCATCTGACCACTTTTTCATTAACCGAGTCCACTGGTGCTTCCTGCTTTAGGTTTTGCTTATAAGCAGGAATCAGGAGGATTGAGTTATGGTCAAATTTGCCAAATGGAGGGCGAGGGAGAGCTTTGTATGCGTCTCTGTGTGTGGAGTAAAGGTGGTCTAGAGTTTTTTTTCCTCTGGTTGCACATTTAACATGCTGGTAGAAATGAGGTAAAACGGATTTAAGTTTCCCTGCATTAAAGTCCCTGGCCACTAGGAGCGCTGCCTCTGGATGAGCGTTTTCCTGTTGATTTATGGCCTTATACAGCTAATTCAGTGCAATCTTAATGCCAGCATTGGTTTGTGGTGGATAAATAGACAGCTATGATAGATGAAAACTCTCTTGGTAAATAGTGTGGTCTACAACTTATCATGAGATACTCTACCTCAGGCGAGCAAAACCTAGAGATTTCCTTAGTATTAGATTTTATGCACCAGCTGTTGTTTACAAATATACACAGACCGCCACCCCTTGTCTTACCGGAGTCAGCCGTTCTATCCTGCCGATGTAGAGTATATCCCACCAGCTCTATGTTGTCCTTGTCGTCGTTCAGCCACGACTCGGTGAAACATAAGATATTACAGTTTTTAATGTCCCGTTGGTAGGATAACCGTAATCTTAGGTCATCCCATTTATTCTCAAATGATTGAAGATTGGCTAATAGGATTGATGGGAGAGGCAGTTTACTCGCTCGCCGTCGGATCCGTGCAAGGCACCCCGACATACGTCCACGATATCTCTGACTCTTCCTCATGCGAATGACGGGGATTTGGGCCTTGTCGGGTGTCTGTAGGATATCCTTGGCGGCCGCCTCATTGAAGAAAAAATCTTTGTCCAATACGAGGTGAGTAATCGCCGTCCTGATATCCAGAAGCTCTTTTTGGTTATAAGAGATGATCGCAGAAACATTATGTACAAAATAAATCACAAATAACGCGGAAAAACACACATAATAGTACAATTGGTTAGAGGGCTGTAAAACGGCAGCCACCTTCTCCGGCGCCATTATCTCTGTTGCAGTGTTACTACGTTCAACCACTGCAGTGTCCTCCACAGTTACTGTACATTATCTTCTCTATCTGTCTGTTTCATCAGTTAGTATCTGTCATTGTGCTGTCCAAGGTTCCTCTTCCTCCCACCACTCATACCACACAAGATTAACACACAAAACAAGTGAGAATCCGTCGTAAAATATAATATATTTATTATAGATATAAAATGTAACAGTAACAGTGAAAAAAAGTAACAAATGTTTTCATGAATAAAAGTATAAACATTTAGTTTCCTGATACTCTTATAACGAGATCGTAACCTTATTGCATATAAACAAAGGTTATATTATAACAAGATTTTTTACATTTACAAAATATATTTATATAAATTCAGCCCAGAAAATATAGGACTAAGAAGATATAAGTAGCTGTATAGCAGACGAAACAGGATGGGAGATTTACATTGGTTATTAACATGTTCAGTTCCTGACTGTGGAATACACATGTACTGCTCCTCTGTATCCAGAGTACCCATCATCGGATTAGGACTGTGATTTTCCTGATGTGAACCGCCTTGTCCCTAAAATAGATTAGAAAAATGAATATTATTTTCAATTCTTAAGGCCACTCTTAACTTTCAATAACTCCAATTTAGAGTTTTATCTGTTCTAAAATCTGGAACAGGTTCAATGGGTCTACATTCATGAGTACCAACTTTGTTTGTACCATTCATAATAAACAACTATATTCTAAATCCCTTTTATTATTCAAGTGTAAATAGTATTACAGTTGAAATGTTATTTATGAGAGTAATTCTTACCCCAGTCGGTTGACATGTTCGATCACCCAGCTCTGGGAAGGGTCTGCACACACATCTTTCCCTTTTCCAGTGTGAAACCTGGAAGAGACGCATACAATACCGTCAGTCCATATTCAACACTCTGTTTTTACACTTTCAGCATTATTAACCCCGTTTTTGTATTCAACTATAATTACAGTATAATGGTATTTTTCTTGTTAAGAATCCTGAACCTGAATTCAAAAATAAATATTCACACCAAAGATACTCACATGATGGCAGGGATTCTGCAGATTTCAGTCGTGGTCTGTAGGGTATAGCCTATGATAACCCCAAAAGGTATTTTCCTACCAGTGTAGCTTTGACAACAGCCTCTTATACGACGTGCTGTAAAAAAGGAGCAAATAAACGATTAAGGAGGAATCTTGATAAAGACTAAATATTACTCTAATTGTCCAACAGTTTCTTTCAGTTTTCCAGTAATAACACAGACAGACGGACTAAGACTAAACTTGGAGAGAGGGAGACAGAGGCATACAGACAGACAGACGGACGGACTAAGACTAAACTTTGACAGCCGAATATTGACCTTGTTTAGCTGCAGAAGCCTCAGTAGTGAACAGCCCCACAGCCAGGAGCACAAGCAGCACTATCACAGCAGCTCTGATCTGGGACATCTCTTCTTCTGTGGTGCTGTGGTTAGTGATGAGCTGAGCTGAGTTGCTGTCTTCAGAAAGAGAGCTTTAGTGGCTGTGTGAGGTCCTATTCATCATCAGAGCCATATATATACTCCTGGTGCAGGTGGAAACTTATTCTCTGAGAGGTGAAATGGGCTTTCCTACCCACGCCTTAACACCAAAGTCCCACGGCAGAATTTCCCCATCACTTTCCCCAATGAGCAAAACAGGGAAACAAGATTTTTGAACAGAACAAGAGGGAGGACTGTTTATTTTATTATTATTTTTTTATTTTTTTTTGGGGGGGGGGGTGGATCAGCTTAATATTGCAGATAGATTGTATCTTCTATCAATGTAATTATTTGCATCACTTCCAATCCCCCATGTTTTTTATATATATACTCCCCTTTATTACTTTTCAACCCCACCATCCTTTCCCTACTTGGAGTAAATTAGTGAACAACAATGCCCAGGCCTCTACTTCCGGTCTATACTTACTATCTACACCTTATGGACACAGTTAATTTTACAATAATTCTATTATATATACATATATATATTTATTTTTGCTCCTGAACTACTTCTACTCTCAACCTCTCCGATCATTTTCATGATGTCCATCCGGTTTGCTTCTATATGCCATATCTTTCTAACTGTGCTCTTTCCCAAAAGCTCCCAACATACAACCTATATACTTATTATGGACACAGTGTGCTTACATTATTAGCTATCTTTGTTATTATTTGTTGTTATTTGTTATTAGTCCCATCCTTCAACTCTATTCAATACCTCCCATCTATCTCTTAACACCATCCATATAGGATTTCTATTTGCCATATATATTTCCACCGTACTGTGATGTTTTACAAAAGTTCTGAACCTTTCTATTCTCATTGCTACAGATTGTGAATTAAAAATAAACATTTTTGCTAAAAGTATTATTATATTATTGATCGATTGACTTTTCAGATCACCCAGTAATGCTATCTGCAAGGTTAGCTCCAGGTAAATATTGCAATCCTTTAGCCATTCCTGGACCTGTGTCCAAAAACAAGCTACAAATGGACAGAACCAAAACAAATGATCTAATGATTCTGTCTCTTCACAGCAAAATCTGCAGAGCTGGGAAGATTGTATCCCCCATTTAAATAACATTCTATTGGTAGCAATAATCTTTTATAATAATTTTAATTGAAAGATTCTAATTTTTGAATCCGGTGTCAGTTCATAAACACTGTGCCATGGGATCGTTACATCAAAGATCTCTTCCCAACTATTTTGCAATCTATATGGGACGGCTGTCAATCCTTTGGTCCTTAAGTGAAACTGATATACTTTTTTATTTATCACAGTTTTCCTTAACCAATTATGTTCTTTAATGCAAGGCCGACAGACAAGTTCCTTACTTTCTCCACCTTCCACTTTCCTCTTCCACTTTTGTGGTAAGGCTGCAATTATTTGGTTGTAATTTTGGGTAGAGCAGACATATCCACATGTTTTTGTTAGCTGCATGTGCGACATAACTCCACCAGTCCTACCGATGATATCATTTACGGAGATTATACCTTTTTTAAACATTCTGTCAAAAAATTAAGGTTTTTTGTCAATTAGTATATTTGAATTTAACCACAATATTTGTTGCATTATTTGTTCTGTCGTTTCTGGAGCATTAAATTGAAATTGCAACCAACTTTCTATGGCTTGTTTTAGAAATAGTGATATTTGGGAGATGATTTCCTTTTCACATAACTGCAAATGAGTTGTTGTAATCTGAATAAAGGGAAAAAGGCCTTTCTTGAACATTGGGTGAGACAATCTTACTAATTTGCTTGAGAACCAGTTCGGATTTAAGTATAACTTTTGTATGACTGAAGCTTTTAGTGATAGGTCTAATGCTTTAATATTTAATAATTTCTGTCCTCCGAATTCATATTCATTATATAAATATTCCCTTTTAATTTTGTCTGGCTTGCCGTTCCAAATAAAATTGAATATTTTTTTCTCATATAATTTAAAAAGCAGTTCGCTAGGCGTAGGCAAGACCATAAGCAAATAGGTAAACTGGGATAATACTAAAGAGTTAATCAGGGTGATTTTTCCACAAATTGACAGGTATTTTCCTTTCCATGGTAGTAAGATCTTATCTATTTTTGCTAACTTTCTATTAAAATGTATTGAAGTGAGATCATTTATTTCCTTTGGGATATGTATTCCGAGTATATCCACATCACCATCAGACCATTTTATTGGTAAACTACATGGTAATGTAAAAATTGTATTTTTTAGTGATCCAATACGTAATATAGTACATTTGTCATAATTTGGTTGTAATCCAGAGAGGTTAGAAAATGTATCTAGATCCTCTATGAGGCTGTGGAGGGATTCTAGTTGTGGATTTAAAAGAAAACATGAATCATCAGCGTACAATGACACCTTTGTTTTTAAGCCCTGTATTTCTAATCCTCTGATATTATTATTGGATCTGATTTTAATAGCTAACATCTCAATGGCCACAATAAATAGATATGCCGATAGTGGACAACCTTGTTTCACTCCTCTTGACAGTTTAAAACTTTCTGAGAAATAGCCATTATTTACTATTTTACACCTAGGGTTACTATACATGATTTTGACCCATTTTATAAGAGATTCTCCAAAATTGAAATGCTCCAGGCATTTATATATAAACCCCAGTCGAACTTTATCAAATGCCTTTTCGAAGTCTGCTATGAATAGCAGGCCTGGTTTCCCATATTTTCCATAGTGTTCTATTGTTTCCAATACTTGCCTTATATTATCTCCAATGTATCTTCCATGTAAAAAACCTGTCTGATTAGAATGAATAATATCCGACAATACCTTTTTAATTCTATGCGCTATACATTTTGCTAGGATTTATGCATCACAACACTGAAGTGTAAGGGGCCTCCAATTTTGTAAATGGACTGGATCTTTATATTTTCCACTTGTATCCTGTTTCAGTAATAATGAGATCAGACCTTCTTCTTGAGTGTCAGATAATCAACCATTTACATAGGAGTGGTTAAAACATGCTAATAACGGTCCTCTTAGTATATCAAAAAAGGTTTAGTATACCTCGACTGGTATACCATCCAACCCTGGAGTTTTCCCAGACTTAAAGTCTTTAATTGCATCCAGAAGTTCCTCCTCTGTAATTTCACCTTCACATGAGTCTTTCTGTGTGGCTGTTAATTTGACATTATCAATAGAAAAAATATCTCTACAATTAGCTTCAGTTAGAGGAGATGGAGGCGACTGAAAAGAAAACATATGCTTAAAGTACTTTGTTTCTTCCTTCAAAATATAATTTGGTGAATTATGGATGACTCCGTCAATTGTAACCAGATTCATTAAGTTATTTTTGGTAGCATTCCTATGTTGAAGATTAAAAAAGAATTTTGTGCATTTTTCCCCATATTCCATCCAGTTTGCTTTATTTTTATAATATATTACACTTGATCTTTCTTGAATAAGTTTCTCCATTTCTTTTTGTTTTTCCTCTAATTTATTCTGAGCCTCTACGTTACAGTTTTTATTGCCATCTATCTGTTCTGTTAGACTTTCTATTTCCTTTCTTAGTATGAACTCTTTTGACCTAAATTGCTTTTGTTTTCGAGATGAGTACTGAATTGCATGGCCTCTAAAGAGGGAGGACTGTTTGAACACAACTTATTCTGAGGTGATTCAAATGCACTAAAATGTCATACTAGAATGTCTAACCTGTACCCCCGCACATTGACTCTGTACCGGAACTCCCTCATTATTGTTATTTTACTGTGTTACTTTTTATTTTATTTGATACTTTTATTTAGTAAATAATTGATTGAACTGCATTGTTGGTTAAGGGCTTGGAAGTAAGCATTTCACAGTAAGGTCTACACCTGTCATATTCGGCGCATGTGACAAATAAAATGTCATTTGATTTGATTTGATTTAAGTAGTGTAAGTGAGAATAAAAGTGTACCTAAATGCTTATACCTTTGTTGAAGTGTCTTGGGTTAAAAAATACATTTGTGGATTGTGGTAAGTGAGAGTTTGTGTTTATATTTTATCTCAGTGTTTCTTTATCCTGGTGCTGGGGACCCAAAGGGTTTAGTTTTGCCCCTAATACTACACATCTGATTCCACTAATCACCTCATCTTCAAAACCATGGTTGCGTTCCCCTGCTCAGACGTTGCATGCATCAACCAATGGTTGCATGCCACGTTATCGACCGTGCTGTCGAGCGCCAGATTGCTATACCATAAGATGTGGTTAGCTGATACGTAAAATACCTATCCATTGTAAGATCTGGAATGCATCAGCAACGCCTGGGCAGAGGAACACGCCCAATGATTAGTGGAATCAGGTGTCTAGTGCTACGGCAAAAACAAACATATGCACCCCTTTGGGGTCCCCATTAAGAAACACTGTTCTATCCTATGGTCCTATATGAACTAGTTATAAATATAAGGAGTTAGGGGGAATTTCTTGCTATTATGAGGTTGCATTGTCAACCACTGCACCTCAATTGAACAATATATAAATTCTACAATATCAGCCTAATTACCAAAGGATATGGGAGATGTGCCAAACAGATAAAAACCCATGTATTTTGATTCAGACAGAGAATAACTGTGGTCTCAAATTAATAGTCTATTTACGGAACCATTAGTCAATCTAAGTAACATAATTTTTAAAATCCCAACCAACATTTGTCAGATTAAGCTAGAGATATCTGTTTTTTTGCATGGGCTGCATCTCAATCTACCTCATCCACCTATGTCGGCCTTCCGCATGTGCAGTGAAAAATGTCCGAGCTACAGCAACGTTTGTCAGACCTTGAGACATCCCAAAAATTGGTCTTCTCACGAAAACATCTGTAGCGTTCGAACGGTTCTCCGGTCCTCTGTTTTGCTCTACGTCCCCCACAAGCCCCACGGTCCTCCTTTGAAATCGGATACACTGATGTACCAACTTCTGCCTGTAGCGTTCGAACCGTTTGGGCTACAAACTAATACTCCACTAATACCACACTGGCTCTCACGAACACGATGGTGTTCTCCGTTTTGCTGTACGACCCTCACAAGTGTC